TAGCCAGGATGGTCTCGATCTCCTGACCTCGTGATCCACCCGTCTCGGCCTCCCAAAGTGCTGGGATTACAGGCTTGAGCCACCGCGCCCGGCTAAAAACTAGGTTTTAATTGTACAACTAACTATTCAAGTAGAAAAGTAAAATGATACAAAATCTGACCTTGACCTACCTTTATGGTCCCTACAAGTTATAGTAGTCATCAATTTTTGTTTGTATTTTTTTTTATTTTTCTTTTGAGACAGGGCCTTGCTGTGTCACCCTGACTGGAGTGCAGCAGCACGATGACTGCTGTCTGCAGCCTTAACCGCCCATCCTCAAGTGATCCTCTCACCTCAGCCCCATGAGTAGCTGGAACTACAGGCATGTGCCCCCATGCCCCGCCAATTTTTCTGTTTTTTGTAGAGACAGCATTTCACCTTGTTGCCCAGGCTTGTGTTTGTATCTTTAATGACCTTTTTTTTTTTTGGCGTTTTTTCTATATATATATTTAAAGAATTGTGTGTGTGAGATCATGATTAAGTTTTAGATTTTGGTGGAAACTTAGACATTGCCTAGCACTCCTTTTCTATCCCTTTCCCATTTTGTAAATGAGGAAACAAGTCTAAATGGTCAAGTGGCATACCCAAGTAGTTGGAGCTGGCTAGTGATACAACCAGGACTACACCCCAGGTCTTTGGACTCCCACACCAGTATTCATCCTACTAAAGTAGATGATAGTCTTAAAAAAGTACAAATTGTTGGGAGGAACAAAACTAGTTCTCTTAGTTGCATAATTTTTTTTTCTTTGAAGATTTTTTTCTTTGGTGTTCTTGACTCAGAAAATCCAACTTTCTGGTATTACAAAAAAATCAAGATTAAAATTAATACATCGAGCACCTTAAAGCATAATACAGTTGACTTTGTAATTAGCAGAGTTGAAAGTGATGAGAAGATCCTCTAATTTTCTTTTTGCCTGCAGGAAGGTGGGAGTCAATCATTTTGACAAGTCTCCTGAAAGGAACAGCTAGCAGGAACTGAAACCTTTTTCCATTTGGTCTCGTGGCAAAGGCAGAGACTGCTCCAGCAGCTCCACACAGTATGGAAGACAGTTATTTACCTTCTTGTGTTCTCGAATTTTGTTTTATTTCAAAAGTAATACATATTTGTTTTGTGTTAAAGTGTAAACTGAATATTCAGACATTTTACATAATATACATTTATTTTGTTTGTATGTTGTAGATATCATTCCATGATAGTACATACAGGTCTACTTCAGTGTGTTTTTAAATAATTGAAAAGTACTCCATAGCACAAACGTACCATGATTTACTGAACAGTTCTCTTGGTAATGGACATTTAGGTTGCCTCCAGGATTTGGCTGCTTTGAACATCCATGTATATATATATGAAGGACAGATTTCTAGAAGTGAAATTGCCAGGTCAAATGGTATAGTCAAATTACTCTTCACAAAATACCATACTGACTTAATGCTTTTACTGATAGTGTGTGAATGCTTGTTTCTCCACATCCTCACCAATCCAGATTATCATGGCATCTTAATTATTGCCATTTTGATAGGCAAAAAGTATCTCATTGTTCTAACATGTATTTCCATGTTTCTGCTAAGGTTAAATATCTTAAAATTATTTCTTGGCCAGGCGCGGTGGCTCAAGCCTGTAATCCCAGCACTTTGGGAGGCCGAGACGGGCAAATCAGGAGGTTAGGAGATCGAGACCATCCTGGATAACCTGGTGAAACCCCGTCTCTACTAAAAAATACAAAAAACTAGCTGGGTGAGTTGGCGGGCGCCTGTAGTCCCAGCTACTCGGGAGGCTGAGGCAGGAGAATGGC